ACAACCTCATCCTTCTCCTAAACCAACAAACAAACTTAGCATAAGGCAATAAAAAACATCCAAAACTGGTCATCAAAGGACACATAAAACAAAAGCAATAGTAATTATAATTGTAATAATAATAGTAATAATAGTAATAATAATAATAATAATAATAATAATAATAATTTATTCCCCTAAACTACTTGGCTGTTACAAGAACATCTCTGCATAGTATAAAATAATGATGATAATAATGATATTCCCCTAAACTACTTAGCATGTTACAAGAACATCTTTGCATGGTTTTAAGTAATAATAATAATAATAATAATAAATAAAAATAAAGTAAGAGAAAACCTAAACAGAAGAAAAAAGTATAAATCACTCACAAATTCTGCATACCTAATAAGGAGCATCTTTGGGAGGCTTGAGGAGCTCAAACAGGACAAAATCATCATGTGATTCACTGGCTATAAAAAAGCACTACAATTCTTTCAGTAGCAAATAAAAAACAAACAAGGTTTATAGAGATAAATAATTATGGAACAATGTAGCAAAAAACTCATCTTACAAAAACAAAGAGACAAAGAGTGAAAATGGTCAACATAATTATTAATCACCTTGAATATTGTTTTCATTTGACAGCTTTGTGTCTTTGTCCAGTAGTTGAATGTCTTATGGTGAAATAGGAGGGGGGAGAACAAATAGATCATCATTCATATCATCATAATCCTCCTCAAAATCTCCTGATTCATACTCACCAGGAAAAGCAACACTAAAACCAGCAGAAACCTCTTCCATGGTTTTTCCAGGACTAAATGGACTCACTCCTGTTTTGCATTTCTTGATTCTATCTTCACCTATTCTTGCACTGCTGTCTTCACCAGCACAATGCACAAAACAGTATCTGCCAGTTTTTCATAGAAGCTACAATCTGCATCCATAGAAGCTACAATCTGCTAAACAAAATATAGTATTTGTGAATAAGTACTAGCTATCTATGATTGCTACCATTAACATACTTTGACACCTGTGGAGTATGTAGCATCACTTATGAATGAGACAAGAATGTGCTTTTAAATTTCCATCAAACCTGAATAATGTCTGTGTAAAATTTGACCTCAATGTAGTATTTTTAACTTATAAATCTAATCCTAGTAAGTGGCCCTAGCAACCTATCTTTACATGTAACTGCCAATAAAATAACCCTCCATCTTCATAAAGATCTAAGTAAGCTTTTAAGGCCTTCCTGTCATTTTTTTTAAAGCATGGCCTCACAAACTTTTTCTTTTAGCTCCACTGATAAAAAAAACATTTAGGGAAAATCAAAGAATCAACAAGCACAACTATTGCTTAAATAATAAGTTGGCAATTGACTGAGACACCATTAGCAACACAATAAAAAAAGCAAGAACCCTCAACTGGCTGAAACTTGCATCATTCAGTTGCATACTATTCTTCCCACATTTCCTAATAAATTAACCTATATTTAGAGGATACCTCTACAACACTGACACTAGGGAAGGTTCTCAGAGAGGTTACCTTTGATACTTTTATAACTATAAAAGTAATAGCTTTCACAGCAGTTTAAAGTGATTTAATTTTCAAAAAACAGTTAACTTCTTCACTTATCACACAACAGCTGTGCAAAGCATATCAATTGTAAATAACAAATGTGGAGAGTTACAAATTACTTTCAGTACTTTATAGTGCAAGTAACATGTTCCTTACCATCAATTTCATGTGTTTTATTTCCATTTAGACTCAAGTGGCTGTAACAAAAAAGCAAACTAAAATAATTTTACCTCACTTCCTAAAGCAAGAAATCACAAGACTAAACAACAAGTGTAGAAACTTAGACATACTTAGGCTAGAACCCTAATTCAAAAATAAAAAAAACTACCCCCTGCAAAAAAAAAAAAATGTACCACTGTCTTTGGTACCATCCTGGTCCTCCTTTTCTTTTTTTTCTTTTACTTTTCTTTTCTATCAACTTGCAAACACATACCATGCTTCTTCTTGATGGGAAGAGTTTCTATAAAAACCCAAATAACCAGAAAGAGTATTGGCAGGATAGATAACCAAATGAGTAGTGGTATTGAACTAAAGCTTGTGGCAATTCACTGACCTGACTATTACACCCTATTCTTTTTTCCCCAGGTCTATGTGAACTAGATTTTGAGTACAGAATGCAATACCTCACCAAACATCTGCTAGGATGACTCACTTAAAAGTGTGCATGATTATCATCTCTTGCTGAGATAACACACTTCACTTCAGTGTTTTTATTACTTCACATATGGGGGCTTTGGTAAGATTGTGGAAAGGAGGGACAACATTTGAGCAGCTGGGTGGGACAAAAATGACAGTGTGGCAGCCATTTATTCCCTCTTGGATGACAAAGTCTAGAGAACCTTTCCTTGAAAATTTGAAAGTTTGGATGTCCAAAAGGGTCCATTTTAGGCCACTATTTCTCAAGTTGGCTAAAAATTATATCTGCTACAAGGGAGAGTGTCGACACTGATTTAATGAATGGAGTAGCTTTTACAGAATGAACTATATAAACATTATACATAAAATGTTGTATCATAGATGATGTCTGTGTGGTCTTGTTTGATTTTCACCTTTGCCTTGCTCAAAAATATGAAATTGTGTCCTGAACAACATTACATTTTGGGGCACAGTGCTGTGATTTCTGACACAGTATATTTAAAGTGATAACTGATGGCAAAGGAATTAATTGGTACTTCAATGATGAATGTAGAGCACAGCAATCAATGTAAACCATCATACCAAAAAACATGGTGACTGGTACATTCACCTAGATCTCTTTGCACAAGAAAATCCTGGAACCACTCAAAAATTCAAGCAGAAAAAATCTGAAAAAATTTGAAATTTGCATACATAATGTTGTTGTTTTGTAAAATATTGCTTTCTACATGTGTCTTACCCTAAGAATAAAGGTAAAATGTACAGGCACCATCTTTGTCTGTAAGTGGATTGAATCTATTGGTTAAACACCAGGAAAAATAATATTATTGATACAAATAGGCTGAGGGTTTAGTATAGGTATGCTGTGGTTTAGTTTTATCCTTGGTTTAATTCTTTTACTTTTAATAGAGGCCAAATTGATAGTGACATATCATCTCACCATAACTTAAGCTTGGAGCTAAATTTTATCTTTTTTTACACAAAATGCATTTTTCATTCATATATCATTCACAAAACCAAAGGAAACTGATTTTTACACCAAGGACAAAAATTAAGCACAACACATACCTTTTCATAACTAGTGCATAATTTGCTAAGAAAATGTATACAATAGAGCTTACCACCTCATCGGCACTTTTGTTTACTTTGCTTTGCTGATGGTTCTCATCCATGCCTGTATGAATGATATTAAGTATGGGTGAAAGGAATAGTATTTTCTTCACAAAGATAGTTGCAGAGAGTGTCTCCATTGATATATGGATCACCAAACACTCACAATGAATGCCAACAAGACCAAGTTCTTGCTAACAAGTGTAGGAGCAATAATCACTAATAATGGGCAATAGTCTGTATTGAATTAAGTATTCATTTGTGCATGAATTAGTATTTTTTTTCATTTTAATGTTTGTAACACACAATTGAAAAAGTATGTAAAATGTGGTAATTTAGTTCAAGGGGCTTTCTTCTAAATAGATCAAAAGAAAGAAAGTGGCAATGTCAGCCACTGATTTAAATAGAAACGCACATATTATTAAGTGAAGAGTAATTTTGCTGCAAATTTGTGCCCTTCTGGGTGAGCAAAGAGATCGAATGATGACCCAACTGTTACTTGTTGGAGAGCATTAGGAGCCAGCACCCTATCCTTTATAAGAGACCTGATCTTCATCATACGTGTAAGCAGTTTGTAAGTTAACTTTCTAGGATATGTGAAGTTTAACATCGACCATACATCCTATCTGAATTTTTGTGTAGCCCCATACATTTACAATGAATACATGTCTTCCACTGTACCCATAATAGCCATCAGTGTAAACACTATGAGATTGCTACATGTAACATAATACAAATTATTACGAGGCTGGAAGAAAATCACAAGTTTTTGATCACTAAAACACCGAGATCTGTCCTGTTTTTTAATCGTGTAATATCTAGTGTTGCATGTCCCAAACAAAATGAAAAAGTCAGTCCTCGACACAGAAGGATTCAATGAATCCAGGTATCATGAAGCTACATGAAATCTGCTGGAATTTAGCACAAAACTTGAACGCGATCTTTGAAGAATGGTTGTAATATTTAAAATTGAAAAAAATACTAGCATGAAGTGCAACGAAAACCTTACCTTATTGTACTAGCTCCAACAGAAAAGTAAGGAAAGCCATGAGGCAATGTCAAATAGACCTTTTTACAGTACTGGCGACTTAATACAGGAATGGCTCCGACCTGTAATTGGATGATAAACACAGTAAAAGATGAAATAACAACGCGAGTGAAAACACCGATCGGCGTTTTCACATTGCTATCTCATCGTTCCGCTTCGAGACACGCGGTTAACAATAGTCACGGGCAACGAGTTAAGATATAACTTATTAACTTTTACTATTTTTATCATCCAATCACAGATCGGAGCCATTCCTGTAATGGCCGCCATCTTGGAATTCGAAAACCTGAGGAAGGCTGGGGAGATGGATAAAGTCTTACCAAGGGGTGGTGATAGGTTAATATCAACCATGACGGCTCGATCTGGAAATCTGTCAATAGTTCTTGTAAGCTATTAACTAGCACCTCCTAATTAGATTAGATGACAAATACTTCAGAGATATAATGATGAAAATGCGCAGCAACGCTATGAGAATTTTGATTGTTATTTGGCTCGCTGCACTAACACACGTTGTGGCTGAGGTAGACCCGTGTTCGTGCAGGAAGGAGTCGAATCAGGTCATGTCCATTTCTTTTTCCCCATCCCTCCCGTCCCTACCCAGTCTGATGCATTCCTTAGTCCCACTCCATCACAACTCTTCCGGCTTTCTCTTTCTAAGTTCCGCTATGGCTGGCTGCAAGCTGTTACGATATGTTTGTTTGTTCCTTCTTGGATATGTAGGAGCAGTCACTGCTACCTGTAAGAAGAGAGATGACTGTTCTTGCCGCATGAGTGATGGCAAAGTCTTGGACTTGAAGCCACTGGATAAAAACCCAGGTCCCAGGTAAAAGTCCGTCGATCGAACAACTTTCACTTTTTGTACTCTAAAATTTAATAATTTAAAAGAGTATTAAGAGTTAAATGACTGTTCTTGCGCTAGCGTTGCGTCAACCAACAGTTTTGAACAATGGGCAAAGAAATAGGAAGCTGGTCTTATATAATTTTTAAACAGAACAAAACGGGGGAGGGGAGGCTTAACTTAGAGAGGTTACAATGGAAAATGTGTACAGGTATTTATATGGCATGATTTGAGATAGATTAGTGACATTGTTGCATGCAAAGGACTGCATGCTGGATTGACGAACTTCATGATTCTGTGCATAGAAATCATGGTTTTTATTGCAGTGTTTGAACAACTGTGGCCTACCCCTACCCTAACCTAACCACAATCAACTAACAACAAGTTAGGGGTGATGGTGGTTTAGGGGAAGGGTGGGTGGGCAGTTGCTTGGATAATGGCATTGAAGCTATGATCCCTGTATACTTCAGGTCTCAAATACTTCAAACAAATTACAATTTGCTAGTATTTATGGTCATGATAGGGGGGAGGGGGGGGTATTTGTGTAGAGGTAGAGTGCTGATTTGATTCCAGGGAAGAAATATTACAGGAATGTGAAGTATTACTTGCAGTCCATAACACAAGGTGATCCAAAAAAGTTTTTGGAAGGAAGGCTTCCTAACGTTAATTTGGAAAACACAGAGTTCTTCTTTTGTTTTGTAGGAATTTTCTTATGGAGGGACCCATACCCCCTCCCTTCATTATCTTAAGGTTACATGCCACATCTCATTAGGTCAACTTCTTTCATCATGTGTTTAATGTGTGAACACTGGTCAATGCTTCTGGTTTGCAGTAAAGGGCAAGGGGTGTTTTACATCTAAGTATGCAATAACTAGTTGCTGCCTACAATATCAAGGAAACAAAAATCAGCCAGTTGAATAGTAGGATGGGATTCTGTCATTGCAAGAATTGTTGTGTCAAATAAGACATGATTTAAACCTACAAATCTTATGGGAGGTGGCTTAGGATCCTTCACACACCACTTCTTCTGGATCTGCCAATGCTGAACTTGGAAAATTCATGGAGCAAAAGTTTGAATTTGTAACTAAGTGGTGTGATGTTTTGTGAATTTGGCTAAAATATGGGGGAAAGATATCATCTTGTTTGACGCTTCACTGGTAGTTATATTTTGTACTATGAAAGGATATTTGCATGTGAATGGACTATAAATCACTATATATAATAATGATACAGTGAATTAGGCATGTGTTTTGATTTGTCCTTATTTGAGATCTATCAGAGAACAGACACATAAATGATGTGACCAGTAACAACTTTTTGCTTCTTTATTATGTAAAACAAATAGATGCCATGCTTCTGTGTTTCTGTTCAGTAATATATCTTAGAAGACTTCTAGTGAGAATATCAGCTTTTTGTATCAGTTCAGTGATGAAATGTAAATTTAAGCTCTCTATTATGATGCAGCTTCACCGGCATGAAGGATACAGATGACAAGCCAAATGTATATAGCTGGAACCCTTGCACAAAATTCAAGGAGCCGGACACTAATTGTGAAGATGCTTTGGTGAGTCATTTTAAATTTGATTTTGGATTAGATAAACCAGAATTTTGCAACTCTAGTTTAAATTGCGTACTCCTATGCAGTTACCTGCCGATTAGCCAGCTTGGAAAAAGAAAATAAAGGTAGTAGTTAATCTGTTAAATTAATCTGGCCAACAGTGGCACAGATTGACCAGATATCCTGTAGAATACAATCAAAGTTTTTGTAATGTTCAACTGGTAACCTTTCAGTCACCTGTTGGTGGCCTATTGAATAGGAGTCACGACAGTCGACCAACAATCAGTAGAGGGTAGTTGTTCTTCACAATTACCAATAAATGCATATATGTAGGAAGTCTGTTTTTTGATCTTTCTGTATTCCAGTACTATATATATCTACACCCTTTTTTCAAAAACAGTGCAGTTTGAAAAAATATGTATAATTTATACACCTTTTGCTTTCTCATGAAAAAGTTTCTCTTCTTATAGTATATATTATAAATATATTTAATTAAAAAATATATATATATTAATTGATCACCAATCAAAGTATAGGGTGGGCAGGTATCTACCTTCTCCCCTTGAAGGTAATTTTAGATTTTTGTTAATTAATGATAAAACCCTGTTTTAGGTGCACAATTTTCTTAAACCAAAAATTTGATGAGTGTTTGGTATAAATGACTGAATGATGATTGATTAAACCAGACTGTGGTATGTTATAAGTTTACGTTAGACTCTCCTTGCATGTCTTAAGCTATATTAATTTACTTATTAACCTGATTTCAAAAGTGTTGCATCTTCTTAGTGATTCTTAAGTCCCATTTTATCTTTTGCCTTTCTTTACATTTTGTTAGCTATGCCAGGAAACGCCTTCTAAGGATTCTTACACAGTTGCAAAGGAAGTGAGCAGCTTTGATGAAAACAGTGATGGTAGCATAAATATAACATACACTCCATGTACTGTTCCGTCACAAAAAGATTTCATAAGGTAACTGGTCATGACTGAGAATTTACTTTGAGTTAGAAATCTGATATTATTTATAGCTCCCATTACCCATCAAAATATTGTGACATGCAAATCAAGGATAAGGTTATCCTGTGATAGCATTTACAAAAGCCGTCATGTGGCTTAGACTATGCATGTTACATGATTTCTTATGAAAGATTAATTGATTATTGTAGTATTACATACTGAGATTTACTCTCTGAAAAGACACAAAATAAATTTTCATTCATGACAAGAATTTGAGAGCCAATCAAATTGCCCATATTGCCTTTTTCATGTGTGAGGTAAACGTTACCTCTAATCATCTTTGAATTTAATTTTTTTATGACTGAATTGTCATTAAAGTCTGTTGGTAATGGTGTTTGGTTTGTATCGGAAATCTCACTTGTTCAATTATTTTATGATACTACCTACTTGTGTGTATTTTTTAAAAAATATTTACCATATGGGCAGACTTTCCATAGAATCACTGGAACACAAGTTAAAGGAAGCAATCTTGCCAAACTTTTCCTTGAGTTGGCTTCAGCTGAAAAAATTACAAAAATGACATATTCTATTGATTCAGGGCACAGGTATTCCCCAGCTGTCATAGGGACAGCTGTTGTTATGATCAAGTTCAGACTTTGGTTGGGTCTTTAATGCTGAGTTGAAATTTCAGTCTAAATACCTCAGCAATAAGGTGGGATTCAAAGTCACAGTTTAAATTAGAACACTCTTAACCCTTTAAATCCCAAGATCTAATTGTTAATTCTCCGCTCCAGCTGCTACATATTTCCTTGTAACTTAGTCATGAGAATTTGGTGTTAGATCAAGACAAAACCTCTACCTGATAAGTTTGAGAATTCTCATTATCTTTTTGCTGGATAAGAAATGGATATAAGGAGAAGTTACATGTTAATCACTCCTGGGAGTTAAAGGGTAAGGGTAATGAGGCAGCCTTCAGTCCATTTACGTTTATAAAGTTAGGTATGAATAATGGCAATTAAATGTTTTATTTCTTCCCAGAGAAGCAATCATTGTGTTGATGTGTGACCATACTGAAGATAGGGGAAAGTTTAGTCAATTCCTTGAGCACAAAATCATTCCTGATAAAAAGTCATTATATGTAAGTACCAGGCCTATTTGGAGTGTATGTATGTGCGTCTATTGCCAATTGAGAAAGAGGGTCACAGGCAAAGGATTGAAATCACATGATGTTTGTTTTCTGATATGCAGTAACAAGTCGCCATAACTCTTTCAGCTTCGTTTGTAGTGCATCTTTTTTTATTTTGCTGTTTTTTGTTTTGTAATGTTTATCTCAGACCTCCTTGTATTGTCCCTTCCTTTTTTTATTCAGATGTCTGTTTGGTTTAAACCTTTAACCTCCAAGAGTGACTAGCATCTAAATACGCCTCACAAATCGTCCCTGAATCAAACATTTAGGTCAGGATAGTAAAGGAAATGACCACCAACTAAAGAAGCTCTTGATTGTTGAACAAATTCTCCTCCTCGACACCTTAGGAAATGTTTAGAGAACAGTGAGGAGAATATGCATACTGATGTTAGGGTGCAAACTGAACTGTTCTGGTTTCCTTTCTCCATAGACAGCAACGTTTTCTACCAAATATGCCTGTTTCGAGAGTGGAGGACTAAGTACTGGCAGTATTCTTCTCATAGTGTACGTAAGGCGACTCAGCATCCGTAACTCAACCTTGCAGCTTAGATCAAATTAAATGCATTTATGCAATGAATAAAGGGGTTAATTCTCTAGCTAAAATGTGGTGCTGCGTCTTTGGGGAAGTGTAACAACTGAAGGTATTGATGACGTCATCATAAACAACGTTATTGGATTTAGGTACCATGTTGCTATGGATGTTTACATTTCATGTAATAGATCAAGGAAGACGCCAAAATGTTGTAAGAACTTCAATAACACATTTGGCTGGGCCTCGTGTGCCACATTTTGTTATTACCATATTTTGACGTCGGTTTATTACTAGACAGACATACGGCAACACGGAATCTCTTTGTTAAACAACCTTGTCTCCTTGGGGTGGACGGTTTTTCAAAATGGCATCGTTAGCAGTTTTGGAAAAATGTTCCGTGAATTCTGACCTTTCTGTTCAAAGGGATCCTGAGTTAAAATAATTCAATGCCGACTTTAAGAATATTTAGTTTGGGGAATTTCTATATTAAGTAATAATGTTTGCTGTTTCTCTTGTAGGTTCTTTCCATTGGTACTGATCTATTTCATCGCGGGGTTGTTATATAATAAAATTCATAAGGGTGTCAGCAGTTTTCCTGAAATGATCCCTAATCATTCTTTCTGGGGCGATGTCCCATTTTTAGTCAAGGTGAGTCTAGAGTTTATGGTAAGATGAGTGAAATCTTTGAAATGTTTCCTTTTGTTTTTTTCTTTGTTTGTTTGGTTCCTTTTTTGTGTTTTCTCTTTGTGGGTCATTTAAACACATGCATTCTACTGAGGTTCGACCTCCATAATGAAAATGCAGCCATTTGTGTCGAAAATTTTATAGCCTCTTTATTCAAGTCACTGGTAGCCCTCTAAATAAGGCAGAGCAAATTAACAAAAACTGAGCTAAACAGCCCCAAACCAGCCCGGAAAACCCACATGATGCAAGGAACGAGGAACGTTTTGTTTTCGTTAAAAACTAAGGGTACAACCGTTCATTTCCTTACAAATCTTTATATTAAATATGTGCATATTTACGGAGGTTTATTCTGCAAGCTTGGGTGACCTGTGGTTGAAATAAATGAGCCGCTTACTCGAGAAAATCCTGTCTAATTGCATACGAAACGATTGTATTTTTGTTTTGTTTTGTTTTGTTTTATTTTAAATTTTCTTTCAAACCTAAATAAAATGGCTTTAGATTTTAAATTTCTTGATATGAAAATGTTATTTTAAACGCTTAGATTTGGTCAAAATGTTCAGGCGATTTTGTGTCCGAAGTCTACGGCCCGCACTGAATCAAATTGAACGTGCCCTGTATCCATTTTCAACTTTGATATATCATTAATAATCCAGATGATGTCTTTTCCCAAATGTGTGTCTTGAAACAAATCATATTCTGTATGTGAGGATGACATTAAAAAGACAAGATCTTCAGAAGTTAATTGCAACATTATTACTGCGGAAAACTTGATAACTTTAGGAAAGTCTGGTATCAACCAGGAACAAACCATTACCTTTCAGTTTTCGTCTAAGTGCTACTATCAACTGGGCCTCTAAGCCTCATATTGGTAGCACGGCAAATCTATGGGGATATTCCTTCCTTATGATAGAATCTACCTCATTTCTCTTTACATTGATCTTAAGTGTTGTCATGACATAGCTAGTAAATTTGTCTGATCAAATTCAATTGCGTGAGCGTGCTTCATATTCCTATTGTGCACGCTGATGTCTTCAGCAAGCAAATCCCTCGAGAAAAAAAATTTTCCATCGGGTTGAAAATGTTATCAAACAATTGGTTCATACGTCAGCTGTGCGTTCATCGAGATATAAAGCACTTAGGAAGTTTAGAAAGCACTCAAGAAGCTAAAGGTGCTCGAGGCGTGGCCGAGAGCAACTCTTACGCATCTTTCGTGCTCTCCAAACTTCCCGCGTGCTTCATATCTCGATGAACGCACGCTGACGTATGAACCAATTGTTAATTGACCCGTGAAGACTGATTCGTCACTTTTTACTGTCCGTTTCTCCTTTTCTTTTACAGGATGGCTGTGTTTTCACATTTCAAGGAATAGCTGGCTGTTGCAAACGTGTGTCTATGAAGGTCAAAGGGGACTCTTATGCTGAAATATAAGATTATACTTAAATTTCTTTTCTTTTTATTTTTACAGCAGTGATAACATTTGCGATTTATTATGTGACTTACGCGCAGGGTAATGTACGCGATAAGTTAAGACTTTTTATGCGTTTCTTTTGTGGTCAGCCTAGAAGATTAAGTTAGGGTTTAGGAGATATTAGGATATTTGCGTAGTCTTAGCACTTTATAAATGTTCAATTGTTATTATTATTATCATTATTATTACTATTATTATTATTGTTAATATTATTACTTAAAATAATTAGGGACCGCTCGTTATCTGTTGGGGGCTCGGAGAATTTTGCTTGTGTCACAATGAAATTTACCTTATCCCCTCCCCCCCAGGCTGTGTAATTCTAATGATCTCCTCTCATTGGCAGTGAAGATACTATAGTCCACCCTTTACACTCTGTTCTCGACTACTGATGGCCCCGCACTTCCCCCTGAAAACCATTTGATCCCCCCTTCCCCCAAAAAAATCTGCTCGCACCCCCCCCCCTTTTTCACCGTGCGCTAACTATTGATTGGTCTCTTAGGTAAGAGAATTTTCTTACATCAAGTGTAATACGCGCCCGCAAGGTCTTCCAAGTGTAATACGCGCCCGCAAGGTCTTCTTCGGTCGTTTCTACGCGAGACGTGCTTCGCATTGCTGATGTAGTCTACCAAAAAGTTAAAATATGATTAATTGGTAGAAAAGCACGTGTCCTCTTGTAGATATTTTAAGAAAAAGCGCTGGTTTAGTCGGAGAGTACTGAAAAAATGAAAAACTAAAAGAAAATTTCATGATTTCAGTGCATTCTAACGAACAAGCCAGTGTGATAAATGCATTGGACCTCTTGATGAAAACATTTTGCATTTTAAGGCAAATAGGGTTGTTAATGTCGATATTTTAAATCAAAATAGCCAGACTGATTTATGCGGTCTCTTCTTTAAAGAGATAATTTAAACTTCTATAAAAATTTTTGTTACAGATCTAAAATGTAGGAAAATTCTTTGAATAATTTTTGCAGTAAAGCGAATGATGAATTCTATTTGGACATGGTTCTGTTGTTGTGTGCTTTCTCCTTATTTAATTTTTCTTTCCTTTTTCTCTGGTATATGTAATGATGAGCTCAATTACGCACGTCTCTTAGTTGGTTCTTTCTCATGATCAATTGGATGACAGATCTAGACTATATGATATTAAACAAATAGATCCCATGTTGCCGAGGGTACAGCAATAGATCTCAAAAGACGTTAAAATGTAGGAAGTATATTAATGACACACCCGGCTGCGCCTTGTGTACCAATTTTTTTATTCTTGTCCCATTTTTCAACTGCTAGTTCAGTAGTGTTAATAGCTGCGAGGATCGCTTATATCTCATTTCTTCACCGCAGTGCACATACATGATTTTCAATTATTTCCAGTCATTCCCACTTGGAAGGTTTATTTGGACCCAACATTAGAACCAGCTCCCAGTTGGCTTGTTAGCCCAGCTGGTAGAGCGCTGCACCGGTATCGCCGAGGTCATGGGTTCAAATCCCGTACGGGCCTGAATTTTTTTCTGTTCTCATTTCAACTACTAGTTCAGTAGTGTTCATAGCTGCGACGATCGCTTATATCTCAAATCTGCAATCTAATACTGAGCAGGGCAATTGGGTATTATCAACTGAGTTGCTAACGTAAATTGAGCTTCAAAGCTGACGTATCGAGTGTTAGCCCTCCGTCTAGGCGGATCATCATCTCCAGCACCTCAGTTTCTTTTCTTTGTTACTGAACAACTCGTAGCGTCAAGGAATCCTGTGAAGTGGCCTGTATATCGGCTTTTTCCGTTTCCTTATATCCTAGTGGTAGAGGCACGAGGGGAGCCAAAGCCGCGCGTGCGCATAAGGGGTTTAAAGTGACAGACCCAAGTCTGCCATATCTACCCATACCCTATCTAATACCCCACCTCGTGGGTTGGGAACAAGGTCAATGAGAGAGAGCTCTCTTCTCACATTCGAATAGCTACTGAAACGACCAAATAGCGTGAAGAATGGGTGAGAGTGAAGATGCCATGCAATCTTGGCCGAAGTAACTTTGTACCGCACGTGGAAAGGACGTCAAAATGACGGTCAAGTTCACAGATATACCGGAATTATATGTCAGAAATATGCCACGCTATGAATAGTTAAGAATGGCCGCCATCTTGGAATTCCAAAACCCGATGAAGGCTGGAGAGATGGATAAACTATTACCAAGAGGGGTGGTGATAGGTTAATATCAAACATGGCGGCTCGATCCGAAATCTGCCTTTAAGCTATTAATTAGCACCTCCTAAAGAGAGTAGATGACAAATACTTCAGAGATAAAATGACGAAAATGCTCAGCAACGTTATAAGAATTTTGATTGTTATTTGGCTCGCTGCTCTAACACACGTTATGGCCGAGGTTTATGAGATGTTATAGACCCGTGTTCGTGCAGGAAGGAAAATGGGAAGATCATCAGTTTATGGGACATCAATGGGGGTTCCAAGGAACCAGCGTGAGTAATATAAGTCCTTCATCAATATCAGATATTTTGAAAAATAATTGTTATATTTTTATGAATAGGACAATGTGTAAATAAAGCTTGTTTTTTTTACAGTTGATTAAGAGATCGCTTAATTCCATATGAAGATAGTAGGCTGAAAAAAAACAATTTGTTCGAGAATACCAAAATGAGCAAAACTTAAGGGAAATCAGACGAAAAACACCCTCTCTTAAGCCAGTGGTGATAGACAAAGTGGTTTAGGCGAGTCAGATCATGTCCATTTCTTTTCCCCATCCCTCCCGTCCCTTCCCAGTCTGATGCATTCCTTCGTACCAGTCCATCACAACTCTTCCGGCTTTCTCTTTCTAAGTTCCGCTATGGCTGCCTGCAAGCTGTTACGATATGTTTGTTTGTTCCTTCTTAGATATGTAGGAGCAGTCACTGCTGCCTGTGAGAAGATAAATGACTGTTCTTGCCGCATGAGTGATGGCAAAATCTTGGACTTGAAGCCACTGGATAAAGACCCAGGTCCCAGGTAAAAGTCCGTCGATCGAACAACTTTCACGTTTTGAACTCTTCGATTTAATAATTCAAAGAGAATATTAAGAGTTAAATGGCTGTTCTTGCGCTAGCGTTACGTCAACCAACCGCTTTGAACAATCGGCAAAGGAATATTTCGTCTCAAAATTATTCGTTGTAGGGTACTCTTTGGAGCAGGAACTTAGCGACGTGTATATACACGTACACGCATGAACCCACCCATGACAAGGACCCAGTCAGTGGAAAATCTCCGGGTTAATAGGAAGCTGGGTTTGAAACAAAAAAAAACGGGGGAGGGGAGGCTAAACTTAGAGGTTACCATGGAAAATGTGTACAGATATTTATATGGCATACTTTGACATAGATTAAAGGGTAACTGACGGCTAACGGGTCATTTTTTCTGAATACCGTCTAAATGCCTCGGCTAACACTTTGAAACAGGTACAAGGTGCTTCGAATGCCTCTTTGTGCCTTTTTTCGCCGGGAAAAGTGTCCTAAATGCAGTTTCGTGAGTTACCCGCCATAAACCCTTCGATTTTGATCATGTGACCTTCACGTCACACGTGTGTACATTCAGCAAAGTAAATATGGCGAATAGTACTTCGAGTGAAAGCAGTTCCATTTCGTGGTCTGATTATTCGGATTTTGAGGCTTCGATGGAAAGCGAACATACTGGAAGGGTTTATAAATATGCTGGTGAAATCAGGCCTTGGCAATTTGAACCGCCAGGACGAACGTAACCTAAAATAGAGCGCGAGAGTCAGAGGAGGATCCATAGCCCATGCGCCGCGGCCGCCTCAATCAAGAAAGCGAGAATGGTGAGTGCATCTACGATTATAAATAAATTATCTGAAAATCAATCGCTTATTAAATGTAGGAGCGATCAAGTAAAGAAAACTAGATGTGCAGACTCTTGAATACCATGGGGGCGAAGTGTTTTTATGCTATACGCACACACCTTCCGAAGCTAAGGTTTCACTGACTGAAGATATAAACATACACGCTTGTGGAGGTGAATTGGATGGATTATACACGTTCACATACGATTGAATCGGTTTTTAAGTTTTCCTGTGTTGAATTTGACAAGGTGTCAGTGTGGAAACTGCCAATCAATGTGGAGGGAGTAAGACAACATCTTTCACCAAGAAGTGGATGTGGTCAAAAATAAAAATTTGGAGGATGTTACAGTGGACAATTGCAGGCAGAAGCCAGATGTATTGTCCAGCATCCAGGGTGTGAGGAAACTGGTGAAGGCTGACTCCGTCTGCATTTGTTTTGTTGCAAAACATCACTTCACAGCGCTTCCCTGGTTTTCATTTTCTTTGTTTTAGATCCTGTTGTTTTCCGTCCTCATTGTAAATGTCAACGCGGCTCAGTTTTGGAATATATATATATATATATATTTTTTTAAGTTCAGGTTGTAATTTGAGAAACATTACGTGCTTGTTATTTCCGTAGCACGAGTTTGTCGCGGACGCGGTTCCTTTTTTTTTTTACCAAAGTACCGCGTTTTAAACGGTGGTTACAAGGTAGTTCCGTGACTTGTGCTTTAATGTTTTCCTCTCTCAGGCTGTCGGCTTGTTTTATTTACGATAAACGTGCGCTAGTAATATACTGTTCACTCAGCTGACATTGGTACATTTTTGAAACGAGTAACCTTTCGGACAGGATTGATTTCATCATGTTTCCGGTCGCAAATGAGAAACAACGCTTGTGTGTGGCGCTCATAGCAAGGCGATTCTTGCAACATCCGTTTACAGCATGTTTCTGTTATTATACACCTCCATTGGAAGTTAATTAAACTTAGGCACACGAATGTGCTACATATGCTGCTCAATGTTGTAATCATTCCTGAAACACTCTCAGCTAGAGACGAAATGCATCGAAATAAATAAACAAAAAGTTACAACAGTAGGAAGTCTTCCTTTGTACTGCTCACTAGTTTCCATTAAAAAAAATTAAAAAAGGGTAAATCTTGCCTATTTCCGGACTGTGGAAGAAGACTTTTGTTCACGAAACCAGATGTCGACCTCTCGTAATACGTGACAATACTTTGCGTTTAGTCACGCTCACTCCTGAACCGATGGGCCTGAGGTCACAGTGATATACACCGGACAAAATCTAAAGACAAATACTTTTCGGCTTGGAATTAAAAATTTTTCTTCAAGTATAGGACTCGATAATGGTTAAGAGGAAAAATCGTAGGAACATATATATTTTTACAGCTGTTTGGAATGGCGTGCAAATTATCTGTGGCTCTAAATACGGGACGAATTTGTTACTTTCAGGTCTTGACATGACACTTTTCACTGCCTTACACACGTGTGACGTATCACATCACGTGACCTGAATCGAACCGTTTTCAAAATGGCCGTCGATTAAGCGTCAAAAAAAATTTGTAGAAAATTTGATTTTAAACAATATATCGTTAATTTGCTCATTTTGGATTCTTTAACCTAAGAGGAATGTATTGGGACAAAAAAAAAAAAGGAGAAAAATTTGGCGTCAGTTACCCTTTAAGTGGAACTGTTGCATGCAAAGGACTGCATGCTGAATTGATGAACTTCAAGATTCTGTGCACAGATCAGTGTCAGTATTTGAACAACTGTGCTCCTATTCCTCCCCTAACCTAACCAATTTCAACTCATAACAAGTTGGGGTGATGCTGGTTTAGGCATCAAAGCATTGATCCCTGTCACTTCAGGTCTCAAATACTTCAAACAGATTACAATTTGCTAGTATTTATGGTCATAATAGGGGGGAGGGGGGTATTTGTGTAGAAGATGATTGCTGATTTGATTCCAGGCAAGAAACATCACATGAATGTGAATTATTCCTTGTGATCCATAACACCAGCCTGGTGATCCAAAAGGTTTTGGAAGGAAGGCATCCAAACTTTGATTGGGAAAACTGAGAGTTTTTCTTTGTTTTGTACGAATTCATTTATTGAGGGACCCATACCCCCCTCCCCTAATTCTCTCAAGGTTACATGCCACATGTCATTAGGTCGACTTTTTCATCATCTGTTTAATATGTGAATGCTTGTCAATGCTTTTGGTTTGTGCTAAAAGGCAATGGTGTGTTTCACACTTAAGTATGCAACAACTAGTTGTCGGCTATGGCATCAAGGAAACAAAAATCAGCCAGTTGAATAATAAGATGCAATTCTGTCATTGCAAAAATTTTGTGTCAGATAAGACATGTTTTAAACCCAAAAATCTCATGGGAGGTGGTTCAGGATTCTTAACACACACCCCTTCCTCTGGATCTACCTGACTGCCGAACTCAGAGAATTCATGTAGCACAAGTTTGAATTTGTAACTAAGTGGTGTGATGTGGCGATAAATTATTGGTACGTGATCCTGCTGAAGGCTGGTGAATTTGGCTAACAAGTAGGTGAAGGATATAATCTTGTTTGACTCTTCATTGGTAGTTATATTTTGTACTATGAAAGGATATTTGACATTGGATGGATGTGAATTGACTATAAATCAATATGTATATAAAAATTATATGGTAAATTAGGTATGCATCTTGATTTGTCCTTATTTGTGATCTATCGGAGGACAGACACATAAATAATGTGACCAGTAACAATGTTTTGCTTCTTTATTATGTAAAATAAATAGATGCCATGTTGCTGTGTGTCTGTTCAGTCATATCTTAGAAGACTTCTAGTGGGAATATCAGTATCACTCTCAGGGCTGTGCCTGACGCGTGCCACTTTTTTGTTCTCTCCATGTTTTGATGTCATCTGTGATCTATTATGTAGTAAACAGATTCATGGCAACATGGAATTTACATACATGTATATTTAACTTTTTGTGTTAGTTCAGTTATGAAATATAAACTTAAGTTCTCTATTATCATGCAGCTTCATTGGCATTAAGGATGATAAACAGTCGACATATTCATATAACTGGAATCCTTGCACACCATTCAGTTCAAGCACTGGTTGCAAAGATACTTTGGTGAGTCATTTTCAACCTGATTTAGAATTAGATAAACCAGAATTTTGCAACTCTAGTTTAAATTGTGTACTCCTATGTAGTTATCTGCCATTTAGCCAGCTTGGAAAAATAAGATAAAGTTAGTGGTTAATCTGTTCAATTAATCTGGCCAGTGGTGGTACAAATTGACTTGATACCCTGTAAAATACAATCACAATTTTGTAATGTTTAACTGGTAACCTTTCAGTAGCCTGCTACTGGCCTGTCGGTTAGGAGTCGCTGACAGTCGGCCAGCAATCAGTAGAGGGTAACTGTTCTTCACAATTACCAATATATACATGGACACACACACCCACACAGCCACACACACTTACATATATATATATATATATATATATATATATATATATATATATATATATATATATATATATATATACGTATGTATGTAGGTATGTATATATATATATATATATTGTATATTAAGTGTTTTGTATAAATAACTGAATAATGTCATTGATAAACCAGACTGTGATATGTTATAAGTTTAAGTTAGACTCTCCTTGCATGTCTTAAGCTACATTAATCCACTTATTAACCTGATTTCAAAAGTTTTTTTATCTCCTTAGTGATTCTATTTCCATTTTATCTTTTGCCTTTCTTTATATTTTTTAGCTATGCCAGAAAGTGCCTAACAAATATTACGCAGTTGCTACGGCAGTGAGCAGCTTTGATGAAAACAGTGATGGTAGCATTAATATAACATACAATCCAGTTATTTCACCACTAGATTACACCAGGTAACTGATTGTGACCGATAATTTACTTTGATTTAGAAATTTGATATTATTTATAACTCCCATTACCCAACAAAATATTGTGAAACGTGAATCAAGGATGAAAGTGATCCATACCATTTACAAAAACCTTCATGTGGCTTTAGACTATACATGCTACATGATTTCTTTTAAGAGATTAATTTATTTATCATTGTTTTACATACTGAAATTTACATTGTGGAAAGATACAACTGAAAAGAAATTTTCATTCATTTCAAGAAGTTGAGAGCCAATCAAATGGCCTGTATTGCCTTTTTCACGTGTGAGGGAAACGTTATGTCTAATCATGATTGATTTGAATATATTGCCATTGAAGTCTGTCGGTTTGGTGTTTAAACACGTTTTGGTTTGTATCAGAAATCTCACTTGTTCACTATGCTCTTGTTCGATTATTTTATGATACTACCTACTTGTGCATATTTTTTAAAAAATATTTACAATATGGGCAGACTTTCTGTGAAACCACTGGAACAATGTTAAAGGATGTAAACGTGCCAAACTTTTCCTTGTGTTGCTTCAGCTGAAAAAATTACATATATTATCAGTTGAGGGCACAAGTATTCCCCAGCTGTCATAGAGAGAGCTGTTGTTATGATCAAGTTCAGACTTTTGTCGGGTCTTAAATGGGAGGATGAAATTTCAATTTCAAATACTTCAGCAATAAGCTGAGATCCAAAGTCACAGTGTAAATTAGAGCACTCTTCAGGGCGGTGAGGCTCTTTAGTGCATGGTGTTTAAACAAGAAAAAAAAAATGAGGGAAAATGAAGAAAAAAAAATGAGAGAAAAATGAGGGAAGAATGATGGCAATTGATTGTCTTTTTTTTCTTCTTAGAAAAGCAATCATTGTGTTGAAGTGTGACCAATCTCAAGATAGGGGAAAGTTTAGTCCATTTCATGAGGACGACATGACTACTAGTAAAAAGTCATTGTATGTAAGTACAAGGCTTCTTTGGAGTGTATGTATGTGCATCTATTGCCAATCGAGAAAGAGAGTCAGTCAAAGGATTGAAATCACATGATGTTCGTTTTCTGATATGGAGCAGGAAGTCGCCATGACTCTTTCAGTTTGTGGTGCATTTTTTTTAATTTTTTTTTTTTTGTTATGTAATGTTTATCGCAGACCTTCCCGTATTCTCCCCTCCCCTTTGTTTTCAGATGTCTGTTTGGTTTAACCCTAAACCCCTAAGCGTGAATAGCATCTAATTTCTCCTCGCTAATCATCCCTGAATCAAACATTCAGGTCACGAGAATAAAGAAAACGATCACCAACTAAAGACGCTCTTGATTGTTGAATAAATTCTCCTCTTTGGCACTTTAGGAAATGTATATAGAACAGTATGGAGAACATGCATACTCATGTTAGGGTGCAAAGGGTTATTATTGTACTGAACTGTCCTGGTTTCCTTTCTCCAAAGACAGCAACGTTTAGTACCAAATATGCTTGTATCGAGAGTGGAGGACTAAGTACTGGCAGCATTCTTCTCATAGTGTACGTAAGGCGACTCAGCATCCGCAACTCAACCTTGCAGCTTAGATCAAATTAAATGCATTTATGCAATGAATATAGGGGGGTAGTGTTGAAAAGAAAGTGTGGCGCTGCGTCTTTGGGAAAGTGTTACAAGGTACTTTAGTGTTATCAATTGAGTTGACGATTTAAATTGGCCACCGTAAAGAGTTTGAAGACACCAGATTATCCATTTACACAATGAACCAAGTACTGTGATTTTTGTGATTGATGGTTGCCTTTTTAACAAATAGAGAAGCCTTGACTGTGCTCAGTTCTGTTGTAGAGCACTTAGGAAGCGGCTAGAGCACGAAAGAAGTGTAGGGAGAAACACGAGACGAAGTCGAGTGTTTCTACGTACTTCTTGATTGCAATAGTTTACAAACTAAAATAGTGCGGCATGTCGAATTTAACAGTTTTGCTTTAAGTTTTTTAGTTTCTAATACAGAATCTGAAAGTGAAATGTTCAGTGAAATTCGGCCCAATCGTGGCCCCAAAAAATACGCAAGTTATTTCACATGACAAGTAAAAAACAAACTGTTCAAGGCGAGTGTTTTATGAATGAACGACTGCTGAATTCACTAGGACATGAAGATCGCTCGGAATGATAGCGCCGTAAAACTCTCAACGCATCGGAAAGGTTATCAGAGCAAGGTCTTATTTTTCCACTCGAAGGGTAGTCGATTTAGTTTCTGAGGCTTGCTCCACTGCGATGACCGAAGATCGTCATGATGACTCGGGTAGCCGCAATAGGCCTCAGCATGATCGCAGTCGCTCTGACACCGTCATGATTAGTATGAATTTTAACAGTTATGCCAGGTTATTTTTCATCATTCCTGTTTTTTTCTGTTTATTTTTGAACACGAAACTTTATATACCATACAAGTGTTAGCTGTATTTGTTTTTTTTTACCGTTCGTAAACTTGCAATCTAACTGAGCGTGAAAACCTTTAAAACTCGGACTGTCCATTTTGTTTTATCTTTGAGGATTTTTGTTTCTGCTCACGTTACAGTAACGTAAATTACTGCGCCTGGCATTTTTGCAAACCTTTGCTCGCCTGTTCCGAAATTTCACTTTCAATATACGAAAGAAAAGCTTGAAAGAAGTCCCGGAGAAGGTCGGACATAGTACAATTTAGCAGATGACGTGACGTGGATACCAAGTTGCCGTGCTTCTGTTCAGTAATAGATCACAGATGAGAAAAAAGTGGCACACGAGGCGCAGCCGAGTGTGTCACTGATGTTCTTACCACATTTTGACGTCCTTTGTGATCTATTACTGAACAGACGCACGGCAACTTGAAATCTATTTGTTTAATATGATAAAGAATTAAAATATACGGGAAAATAGTTTTAATGATGCCGTCATCTCTACGTCTGTTCTCCAATCTCTATAAGTGAGAACCAATCAGAATGCGTGCATAACTGAGCTTATTGTATAAATTCTCATAGAGCACGCTCTTTTAACCAATGACAGCACGCATTATATCCGAACTTTATTATAATATCTATTAGAGTTTATATACCTAGGAGGCGAGCGTGGCCTAGTGGTCAGGGCGCTGCACTTGTAAGCCGGAGGTCCCGGGTTCAAGTCCTCCTCCCTGCCACTGGATGGATTTGTCTTCGGTGGCCCCCGAATTCAACTCCTGCACGCTCTGTAAATAGCCAACTGGTCTGCCTCCTACCAGTTGGGGTTTTTAACGAGTTTCTGTTCATTTTCGATATTTGTTTCCTTATTTACAGTGTCCCCAATTAGCACAGCAGTGCTAAAAAATACACTGACACTTAAATAAAGTTATTATTATTATTATTATTATTATTTATTATACATGTAATACGCTGAATTATACACTCATTATTTTGATTGGCTGTTACGTATGATATATTGGAGGACCGACGCATTGGTTACGTCACCATAAACAACGTTTTGATTTTGGGTACCATGTTGCTATGGGTGTTTACATTTCATGTAATAGATCACTGAAGACGCCAAAATGTTGCAAGAACATCAGTAACACACTCGGCTGGACCTCGTGAGCCACATTTTTGATCTTACCATATTTTGACGTCGGTTTATTATTGGACAGACATACGGCAACACGGAATCTCTTTTAAACATCCTTGTCTCCCTGGGGTGGACGGTTTTTTCAAATGGTATTGTTAGCAGTTTCGGAAAAATGTTCCGTGAATTCTGACCTCTCTGTCCAAAGGGATCCCGTGTCAAAATAATTCAATGCCAACTTTAAGAATATTTAGTTTGGGGGATTTCTGTAAGTAATAATGTTTGCTGTTTCTCTTGTAGGTTCTTTTCATTGGTACTGATCTATTTCATCGCGGGGTTGTTATATAATAAAATTCATAAGGGTGTTAGCAGTTTTCCTGAAATGATCCCTAATCATTCTTTCTGGGGCGATTTCCCATTTTTGGTTAAGGTAAGTCTAGAGCCTATGGTAAGATAAGTGAAATCGTTGAAGTGTTTCCTTTTGTTGTTTTGTTTGTTTAATGAAAGTGTTATTTTAAATGCTAAGATTTGGTCAAAATGTTCAGGCGATTTTATGTGCGAAGTCTACGGCTCGCACTGAAGCAAAGCGAACGTGCACTGTACCCATTTTCAGATGGTGTCTTTTTCCAAATATGTGTTTTGAAATAAATCATATTCTGTATGTGAGGATGGCATTAAAAAGACAAGATTTAATTGCAACAATATCACTGCGGAAAACTTGGTAATTTTAGGAAAGTCTGGTATCGACGAGGAACAAACCATTCCCTTTCAGTTATCGTCTAAGTGCTATTATCAACTGGGCATATAAAAATCATGTTGGTAGTGCGGCAAATCTGTTCCTTCCTCATAAAATAATCTGCCTCATTTCTCTCTACATTGATTTTAAGTGTTGTTGACCCGTGAAGACTGATTCGTCACTTTTACTTTCCGTTTCCCCTTTTCTGTTACAGGATGGCTGTGTTTTCACATTTCAAGGAATAGCTGGCTGTTGCAAACGTGTGTCTATGAAGGTCAAAGGGGACTCTTATGCTGAAATATAAGATTATATTTTAATTTCTTTTTCTTTTACTTTTTTTTAATTCAGTGATAACATTGTGCGAATTATTATGTGACTTACGCGTAGGGTAATTTACGCTATAAGTTAAGACTTTTTATGCGTTGCTTTTGTGGTCAGCCTAGAAGATTAAGTTAGGGTTTAGGAAAAAAATGCCTTTAATTTTTTTTTTTTTTTTATAGCTCAGTGGCCCCGTTTTTGTTCATGCTGCTCCAGTCTTATGGAACTCGTTGCCGTTACCAATCAGATTCTGTAGCAGCCTTGCTACTTTTAAGAAACATTTCTTTTCAGGAGAGCGTTCAGTACTCGTTTATAATGCCCAGTTTAATGTAAATTGTTTTTGGTTATATGTATAGTTTTAGCGCCTTATAAATGTTTAATTATTATAATTATTGTAATATTACCATTATAATTATCATTATCATGTCATTATTATAATTATTATAATAATTATTATTATTAAAAAATAATCAGGGACCGCTCATCATCTGTTGTGGGGGGGGGGGGGGGTGGGGGAACGGAGACTTTTGGTTGTGTCATAATAAAATGTACCTGATTCTCACCCCCCCCACAGGCTTTCTGTAATTCTAATGATCTCCTCTCACTGGCAGTAAAGATTCTATAATCCACCCTTTACACTCTGATCTCGACGACTTATGGCCTCGCCGTTCCCCTTGAAAACCATTTGATCCCCCTACCCCCCCCCCCTAAAATCTTCTAGTACCCCCCTTTCTCCGTGCGATAAATATTGATTGGTCTCTTAGGTAAGAGAATTTGGGAACAGGGCTTACATCAAGTGTAATAAGCGTCAGCAATGTTTTCTTCGGTCGTTTCTACGCGAGACGTGCTTAGCATTGCTGGTGTAGTCTGCCGAACAGATAAGTTAATGATCAATTGGTAGAGAAGCACGTGTCCTCTAGTAGATGTTTTTAGAAAAATCGCTGGTGTAGTCGGAGAGCACTGAAAAATGAAAAACTAAAAGAAATTTCATGATTTCAGTGCATTCTAATGAACACACCAGTGAGATAAATGCATTGGACCTTATGTTTAAAACATTTAGCATTAAAGCAAACGATGGATTTTATTTGGACATGATTCTGTTTTTGTGTGCTTTCTCCTGAATTAATTTTTCTTTCCTTTTTCTCTGGTATATGTAATGATGAACTGAATTATGCACGTGTCTTGATTGGTTCTCATGATCTATTGGAAGACAGATTACATGATATTATACAAATAGATCCCATGTTGCCGAGGGTACAGTAATAGATCACAAAAGACGTTGAAGTGTGGTTAGTATATCAGTGACACACTCGGCGTCACCTTGTGTGCCAATTTGTTTTATTCTTGCCCCATTTTGACGTCATCTGTAATGTGTAATCTATTACTGAACAGGGCAATTATCAACTGAGTTGCTAACGTAAATTGGCCGGACGTGCGCATAAGGGTTTTAAAGGGAGAGACCAAAGTCTACCATATCTACCTACACCATATCTTATACTCCACCTCGTGGGTTGTTACAAGGTCGATGACAGAGAGCTCTCTTTTCACATTCGAATCGCCCCTGAAACGATCAAATAGCGTCCGAAATAGGTGGGAGTGAGGGTTCCATGCCATCTTGGCCAAAGTTACTTCAAACAGCACTCGGATAGGACGTCAAAATGACGGTCAAGTTCTAACATATTCTAGTTTTAATATACATTAAAAAATATGCACGCAATAAATGGTCACAAATGGTCCCGGTTCCCAAAACACGAGAAAGGTTGGGGAAAAGAGTAAAATTTTACCGAGGGGGTGGTAGACAGGCTAAGATCAAACATGGCGGCTCGATCCGAAATCTGTCAATAGTTCTTTTAAGTTATTAACCAGCACCTCCTAAGGAGATTAGATGGCAAATACTTCAGCGATATAATGACGAAAATGCGCAGCAACGTTATAAGAATATTGATTGTTATTTCGCTCGCTGCTATAACACACGTTGTGGCCGAGGTATGTGAAATGTTAGACCAGTGTTCGTGCAGGAAGGAAAATGGGAAGATCATTAGTTTATGGGACATCGATGGAGGTTCTGAGGAACCAGCGTAAGTAATACAAGTCCTTCATTAATATCAGATATTTTTTGAAAAATGATTGATAGAAAATTACAGAGGTAAAGAAGTCGTAAATAACCATAAATGTCTCTCGCACTGCACGTTGTCAAGTGAACGTTGAATGTCAAGGTTCGCCCGATTATAAATTATTTTAAGGTCAGAATGAAATCGAATTGGTGATTAGGAAAGCAAAGTTTTGAATTTATCATGGTGGAAAGCAGAGAGAAAAAGCTTCGCTCACTAGTAAACATATAAGCAAAACGCTCAGGTCACGCACATTTTAGGTTAATGCGCTATCGTTTGTCACGCAATCCTTTTGGATGACTGTTGTCACGCTTGTCCTCCTTTCTTTCTCATACAGTAAATCACTCCCACGGCTGGATGTGTCTTTTTTGTTATTTGTGAATGTACAGAGCTTCATAAGAGTCTTTGGTAAATTCATGGAATTTTGGGAACTAAAAAATAAAATGACGTGTAGGAAGGAGGGAAGGGGTTACATCCTAATCAGTTAAATTATGACGCAGATGTGCTGTAATCCCTAAACTATGATTAGATCGAGTGCTTTTAGTCAATTTAGTCGAGTATCTATATTTCCAATAAATGAACGGTGGTCACCCAATTATTTGCTTGAAACTATCTTCAATCCTGGTTATAATTGTTGAAACATTTCTCCTTCCTCTTTCAAAGACGATTAAAGAAAAATTTGACCGCCCAGAGAAAGCTCGTCATTTAGAGAGGAGCCGGGTGACTAAGCAAGGTGACTAAGCAAGGTGCTCATTTTTTCTCCTTTTCAGCTTCAAAGGCCTTGTAGTTCTATACCCTCCGGGTGTAGTATACAAATTTGATTGGAATCCATGTACGAAGTTTAGTGCAGGAGTTGGATGCTCAAATGTGTTTGTGAGTACATTTGAGAATATGAGAAGATAGTAAGGGATCGGTCAATATTTATCCCTGGCGGGGGGGGGGGGGGGGGGGAGGGGGTAAGGGGATCAGACGATTTTGATTGTGTCGTAATAAAATTTTCCTGATTCCTCCAATAACAAGAAATTATATATTTTTTGCCCTCCCCCCCTCCCCCATTGGTGGTTAATTTGTAATCAAATTATTATAGTTTCTCGTTATATTCTATTGATGACGACTGATCCCCTCGAAAACCATGTGATCTTACTGAAATCTTCAAAGCTATGAATGATGATTGGTTCCTAAATCAATCAATCAATCAATCAACTCATAACCCACCCATCCCTGCTCTCCTTCCTTTCTACCATCCGTCGCTTCCCTGGTACAAATTATTTTCCCCAGCCTTCCCCTGCTGTTAAAATATAAAAGATGGCAGCTCTAATTTTCAATAAGGAGGTGGTAAACAATCGCTTGCTTAAACCACGCTTGCTCTGTAGGCTAGTGTGGCATAAATATTCTTGTCACTAAGCGTTACGACGGCGGTAGCTTATTTTCACACAGTAAATAAGGAATGATCGTGAATAAAATCCCTGGCAGGAAAAGGTCAACAAACGAACCGAGGTTCGCACATTTATTTCATTACACTGCAAATCGTGTATAAGCTCGCAATCGTTTATCCGGAGTTAGAGTTAGAGTGGACGGCTTTGGAGGGAGTTGAAAAGACGATTTCTATTACCGCAAGGTGGCAAGGTGTTCCTCGAATCGCACTGCGCAAGTCAGCTTGAATCAGAGTTATTAACTTCATCGCGACCAGTTATCAGGATTTTATTAAATGACAGCAACAGATTTATCTTTGCTGTCCCCAGTTCCCTCAGTCTGAATGGAGTTTAGTAAGGAGTGTAGAAATGAGAGTCAAAAAAAATTTGACAAATTAAAGTTTTTCTAGCTGAATTATAGGTGTTCAAGGCAGAGAAGGTTTTTGTTTTATTTTCTGCTTCAATTTCGTTTTACTTAAAAGGAAGTACATAAGTTCAGAATCAAACGATTTTCACTCTACAATACATTATATAAATTACTCTCAATAGTTTGTGGCATCGTTTACAATGGTCCCATAACAACCATAAAACAATCATGTAACTTTCAGAGAAAAATTGAACACCGCACACAGAAGCTAACAGTACTGAAAATACTTACAGTGCCCAAACTTGCAGTATTTACAATATTTAACTGCTTGATAACTACTGGCGCCAGTAGTAACAAGTAATGATAACAAATACTCACAGTACTGAGTGGTAATGATGAAAATATTACACAACTTTTAAAACTTATTCTGGATACTTAATTTATGATTAATTAATTTAAGCCGACAAGTATAACACTTAAAAATAGTACCAAACAATCGAAATAAAATACCGCATAAGGACATTCAAATATAGAATCTTCGCTGATACACTTCTAATTTCGAAAGGAAAGTATAGTAAAGCTTTGGAAAGGCAGGGGGAAAACGGAAAATAACGGCCTGGAAAGGATATACAAGCTTAAGTTAAAAGCATAATTTTTTATTAAAATTATTAAGTTACAAACTATAAAAGAAAAAAATGTATCAATCCTTTGTTATAAATGCTTTATCCTAAAAAAAAAAAAGAGAAAAACAGAAAAAAACCTTTCACTTGCTATTATTTGCCGCTTCCTTAACAGGGTGTTTTAGAGCCAATACAAACAAATCGGAAACTAACATTGTGATTAGAGGAAGTGGTTAAAAATCCCAACCGGCCAGAGGCAAACCACTTGGCTTTATTCAAAGCGCAAGCAAGGAGTTGAACTCGGGGCAACCGATAACAAATGCAGTTGTACCTTGGACCATCAGATTACAAGTTTATCACAATAACTATTCGGCAACACAGACTCCTCGTTTCTCAGCTATGAAAATGTAAATGTATAGCCAGTTAAGTTAACCGTTCTCATTTCAACCTTAGCCGATTAAAGCAATGCAAAATGCGATGAGACAATAACGTCAAAATCAAACTTTATTCTTGGTTGGATCTCAATGATTTATGTGAGATGTTCCTGAGAAATCCTGGATCCGTAGAGCGTAGATTACGGGATTCAAAAGCGAGTTGGCCACATATGTTATAGTACAAACATATCAATATAAAAATTCTCTCTCTCTTTTAGTACATTCCCTCGAGTGGAAACGGATTTACTAGACCAGTCATAAGTTTGCTAAATTCGCACGGTCTGGGCCATTTTCCGCTCTGCAAGGGCTCCTCGAGCGCGAGTGAACAAGCAATCACTGCTACCCACTTTGTACATCGTCCTTTGGACTCGGGCGATCACCGATCGGCCTTGAGGTGTCTTTAAAATTTGGCCTTAATGTTCACATAGAATAGATGGCTAATTATTAATAACTGTTAACTATTAGGCATTATAAAATAATTCAAATAGTACGCTCGCTCTGATTGGCCATAAAACCATTTTACATGAGCGTATGTAAACACGGTTTTCGTTCCTCTTTCATTAGTTATTTTACTATTTTACTCGATAAGCTGGAAACCACTCCGCTTCGCGTCGTGGTTTCGTGGTTTCCTACGCTTATCTCGTGTTCTCCCAACCTCCCGCGTGTTTACATCAGGCTATGTAAACACGGAAACCATTTTACATTTCTTCAGTATTGTATTAAATATGATTAACTCTCTAATCAAATCTTCTTTTCTAGATGTGTGAAACAACGTCCTCTAGCCCATATGCCAACTCTGTAAACAAATTTACAATTGAAAGTGATGGAACAACCAACATAGTTTATAACAAAATTGGAGGGGGTGACCACGAAAGGTATGCTTATTTCAATATTATCTTATAGCGAGAATTTCGAAAAATAAGCTAGTATTTCGAAAGCCTCAGGTTTTCGTGGTTTCGTTACAATTGTTTGTACCTTCAGAAATCTTTTACATTCTAGGGAGGTTACTATCAATCTTAAGTGTGACAAAAACAAATACCCGGGGAAATGGATGGCATCTCCATAAGAGGAACAACTGCAGTAAGTTCTATTGTCTCCTTATATGAGATTCGATGATAAGAACTCGTCTTTAGATGTTCGACGTCTTTTCTTTCTTCTTTGTGTCGTTCTTTTTTCTGATATTCGCTCTTTGTATTTCTTTTGTTCTTTACTTTTATTTATTCCTATTCCTTTTTCCGTGGTTCTCTCAAGAAACAATTCAACGTATGCATGCTTACAGTGGCAATGTCACCATTTTCAGTTGCTGTGTGAGTGAGTATATATATATATAGTAGAATGTATTTCTTATCACTTTACCCATTCTACAGGAGAGAATGTCAAAGAAGCCGAAACGTTTATCTGGCCTCAGTTTGTGTTAGGTTGCTTTTCGATTGAGGGCAGTCAAATTATTACGAAGTGTAATGAATAGAGAATAATACATGGGCGCGCGTAGATATGGAATTTATCTCTGAGTGTTTAATTCGATAGCTCACGAGTGAACGCAGCGAACGAGTGAGATGTCGAGTTGAACTCGAGAAGGGAAACTTCATATCTACAAGCAACCATGTATTATTTTGTTTATTATATGAACACAACAGCCCTTTACTGACAAGAATTCAACTTTATTAACGAATGAAAATAAAAGGATTGACAATTCCCGAATAAAAATCGTTCAGTACGTTGGCGCTAAGGCTCAAGCTGAAAAAAGCGGTGCAACGCTACAAAAACAAACAGTGGGCGTAATTTTCAATATACAAAATTCTCAGCTATTGACTTGGTCCTTACCGATAGAAGAAATCTTTCGGGTACACGGCCAAAATCGTCTAGAGGCAAATCTTTCAGCTGTCGATTTTCGTTCTCAGCCGAGAGAAATGCCACTACCGAAGCCATTGAATAACGTATCTTTCGGTTTTTCTTTCCGTATTTTGGTTTTCTTCCTCTACTAGAAGAGTTTGAACGTCACTGTCTGTAAGCGATACTGATTTTTCAGTGTTTTGGCAGCCATAATCCACAAAAATTTTCGACAAACGATCTTGGATTGAGAATAGTGAAAGCTTCGCCGTTCATCCCTCAATCTGACCGAATGGCGCGAAAGGCGAGTGACGTGTCAGCAGCTAATTGGCGATATCAAGTACTCGCGAAAAAATACGATATTTTTTTACGTGTGTTGTTAAATCCATAGTTTATAGGATAATCACCACGCCCATTGGGTACATAAGAGAAACACCACAAGGAACCAGTGAGAAGTCAAAGGGGGGTTGGTTTTAGTTTTGCATCTGTTCCCTGAGGAAGATGAGAGGAATGTTTTCAGTCCAGTCAAAGAGCATTAAGAGACAAAACCAATGTAATCCTGAACAACTTTTAACATTTGATTGGAAATTGTTCTATGGCTTATTCGGTTGAATATCGCACCTTTTTAGTCAATCACGTATTTAAGGGCTAAAGTGCAGTTTAAGGAACAAATACTGGGTCAAGAAAATTTTGCCAGTTGCTCAAATTTGTCCTTTCATGCATTGTAAGATTGTGCAAAGCAAAATTGATTGACGAGTATTTATGATAACGCACTGCGCGCAGAGGCATAATTGTAAAATATTTACCTGCGTTCAGTTGTTCAAAGGGCGGATGACGCTCTCCGACGCATAACTAACCAGCAGAGAATAGGTAACAAAACGTACTGCACTATCCGCTGGATAGGGATTTAATCAGCGTATAGCGCTATCCACCCTTCGAACAAACTGGAGCTGATTGTTTTGTTTAACTTCCTTTCAATCTATCCTTATCGTGTTTCTTTTATTCGCAATCCTTTTTTGGAAATAAGAAAATGAATTACGATACAACAAGCTTGAAGTAAGTCGATTCCGATTTTTTTATTGCCCATTTTTTTTTCTTTCTTTGTCTTTTCTTTATTTTTTTTGCTTGCATCGCCTTTTATCCTGCAACTGCCTGCCTTCTTTTCTTTTTTTTTCTTCTTTTGATTGTTTGATTAAGAAAAGTCAAAGGGAAATCTTATTTAGCTGTATTTCCATTCATAGTCTGCACGCCTAACGTCCAAGTGCGCTTGTGAAGATAGCTGCCCTCATCCTGATTTTAGTATAAAAAACGGGCTCAGCATTGGAAGCATCTTGTTGATAGTGTAAGTACATACTATTGTTGATCCTATGACTGTAGCTTCGATTCCATTTATGGAAGTTCAGTTCGTACCTGGTGGTGTCCGACGCTCCATTGCAGTCGCGCTAATTTTACGCACAAACTGATCTCAATGTGTGTAAACCTATAAATCATTAATCGTTGAGCAGGGGTGTCTGCATATGACTTCAAGATCTGTTTGCTATGTTGAAGTATGCTCCACTAATTGGCATTGCTATGGTGAAAATAATATTAATAGCAATAGAAATCTACCTTGCTGACGAACTCAGTTATGAATGTCTAGTCGCCATCAGGTGATGTACGCGTACTAATCAAGGAGGTTATCGTGAATTATATAACCCTCAAATGGAGATATCGTGGGCTGTGGTTAAAAAACCAGTACTCAAAGGGATCCCAATGATTATTTTGAGGGAGGTTGTGGATGTGTAGGCTTGAAATTCCCAGAGAGGTGAATTTGAAGTTTATACTGTCATGAAGTATTAACATAGTTTATAATTATAGTTAATAATTTAGTTTGTCATTTCACTATGATTTAATCTTTCGTTTATATTAAGATTGTATTTAATGTATGAATTAGATTTCCGAAGTTGTACGGGTTTTGAGCTGTCGTGATGAGTTTCCGAATTGTAACAACCTTGGCTAACTTCCTTAAGTGGATGTGCTTAGTTTGTTTACTGACTTAGCTTCTGACCCACACGAAAGTTCATGTTTTGGCTGAACGCAGGCAGAGGTTAGGAAGTACTTTGTTGTTCATTACGAAAGTTGTTTGGTTTAGTGTTTTAACAGGAAATGTTTAATCTCCCAAGGTCAGCCAGCGGGCATGACCACCCATATCTATCAGTAGTGAATATATAAGCATGGTGTTGTTTGGAGCTAACTTAGGAGAGAGGAGAGAAGAGAAAGAGAGCATACTAAAAGAATGTAGACAGTGTGCAGAAGAGTAGCGTCAGAATTCTGTAGCTGAAGAAGAAGTCTTCAGTGAGAATCAGTGTGAGAGCTTAAGAGATTCACCAGAGTTACACAGAATGAAATAAGCTTATATGGTAGTAGATTTGTATACTGGAGAACCGAGTAATGAAAGAAAAAAGTGAAAAAGACAGTTTGAGAGTCTTGATGCCTTTTGCCGAATGCTAGTTCCCGCCCGAAATTTAATAGTCTTAACAATACAAGAAAGCTCTACATCCTGCAAATTTTTTTATCTTCATCTGTTATAGGTTTTTTCCATTACTTCTACTGTATTTCATGGCTGGTTTATTATATAATAAATTCCACAAGGGTGTTAACAGCTTTCCTGAAATGATCCCCAACCATTCTTTTTGGGGCGAATTTCCAGTGTTAGTTAAGGTGAGTCTGTGATATGGTCATTAAAATGGTTACGGTACGGATGTCTGATTTTCTTAAAGTTCATGTTTGTTTGATTGTTTTTATTTTTGATGTACTCTCTGGAAAGGACATTTTAAATTTTTTATTTTGTATTTGTCAAGAGATAAGGAAAGAGAAAGGAACCAAGGTATTTCTTCTTTGTTTGCTTTTACAGGATGGCTGTGTTTTCACTTTTCGAGGAATAGCTGGCTTTTGTCAACGTTTGTTCTTGAAAGCTAAAGGGGACTCCTATGCTGAAATTTAAGAATATCGTTTCTCACGTCTTTTTTTAAAATAACTACATAATGAAAAAATTATCGATAAATGGTAAAAGAAATGACATATTGGTTATAAAAGTTAAAGTAAGATTCTAATGAATGGCGAAACAAAAGGCTAGTTTCTGAAATAGTACGTGATCTTTATTAAGTATTTCGTAAGGAAAAACTTCTAATATTTTTTTAATAAATGATATACTGAAGTACAATGGTGTGGTATATGGTAGCGATTAATCAACTTCTCTGTCTGCAAGTGTTCATTTATTTCACAGCATTGTGCTCTCTTGGGCACAGAGCAAAATTCTTTCCACTTTAAGAAGACTGGAATATTCGTAATGGAACAAGGATGGCAAATGATGGAGAAGATTAGCAAGGATTACTAATGAGGAAATTGAAAACTTGTGGCTAAATCTGTTCAGTGTCACGCAGCTAATCCCCTGAAATGTAGTTAACTCGAGTGGAAAGTATCAACTGCAATGTCATTTCTAAAGGCAATTGCACTAGAGTGTTTCTTTCCCTTTCTATGACTTTGGTTACGTTTTCGTATCATTTTTTTCCTTTTTTTCTAATTTAGGACGGCACTCTGTTAACTTGGAGTGATTTGAAATCTTCATTTTCCTTTTTTTGTCAGAAGCACACAAAGGAGAGTTAGGATGAATTAACATGGAATCTGTAAAGTTAATAAACCTACCACTAATAAAAGCAAATAGTGCATCATTATTCTTAAGAAAAATTCAGCTTCGATATTAAATCGCTATTAAATCGTTTATAACAATAGAAATAATCAATAATTGTCGACCACTCTCCTCACCAACAAAATATATATCTGATATCTTATTGGAAGCCATAAACATTTGAAGGAAAGTAAATTTTTCGGGGGTCATCAGAACTTCTCTTACCACCGTAACAAACTAAATATTTTCGTCACGGAGTTTATATTAACGGTCTTCTTTTAGATCCTTTATCCCAGAACGTCATTGTATTGGGATTTCTTTACACTTCAATAATGATTTAAATGCCCATTTAATACTAATCTTATCATAACACCAAATACTCAGAGGCAGAAACGGAAAACATTCCCCCATTACTACGGTAGTGTCGTTTTACATGGTGCAATTTCTAAGTGATGACGAAAAAAAATTGTGAGATTGCATTGTTTTTGCTTTACTTCGCTCTTTGATACATGTAGGTTCAAAACATTTGCGCCGCTCTCTCGACCAATCAGATGCAAAAATTAAACGAGTTGGTCGCCCGCGTTTTCCCGCGCTTTAGGCAGTTTGGTTGCTTTTTAACTCAGGTTCTCATTGGCTCTTGAAGGTATCTTCCTTTCTTCTGATAGGCCGTTTTGATTACTTTGATTTCGGTTTTGTGACTCAATCGAAAAACGCTCTGCCGCAGTTTTTTTTATTTATGTATTTATGTTTTCAATTTTCTTATCAAACAAAGAATTTCGTATTGTAGACGGCATTCAGTAGTAAAAGATGACGACAAAAACTCGCATTTTACTCATTGCAAGACCCACTTTTGTAATAAGCTCTCTAATCTGAAAACCCAAGAAATTGTAACTGAAGCCACATAGATGCTTTTTTCCTCCAACAGCATTTTAAGTTGTTGTGTTGAACTGAGCTCGCAAGGATATCAAGAGCACAAACATCGTCGAGGAATGGCTCAACCTAAACAGGGAAGGGAAAGGAGTTAAAGCAAAAGGAAAAGAAGCGATTCGTGCTTTCGTTTTCGTCTGCCGCGGCCCAGGGAAGGTAGGAACAATTAGATTTTTTCAGGTCCAAACAGATAGTTATGTTGGCCCCTACTGAGTTTATTGTGAAGTCCTAAAGGTAAACATAAGTGGAGTGAAATGAAACGATTTCGGACTCGATCGAGTCCCTATAGAAATATTAGTCGCTGTTCAATCGATGATTGTTAGTCTTTTACGGCGAAAAGCATGAAAGATTAGCTGCTCTGTGTCGGTTTTACACTCAAGTCACAATGTATGGATATGCTGTGAACAGCAAAGCGAAAATTTGAAGATTGTACGAAAGCGAATAGAATCAATCCCAAGAGTGTAGCGGTATCGAGGCTGCCTTGATCCAAAACATGCCTTGTAGTTAAAAGATATCTTCAATAGCTTTCAGTGCCGTAGCGCGTAGAATTTGACATTTACTGACTTAGTTGAATCTGGGCCCTCCCGAAGCAGTTTGTTTCATGGTTTTAAAATTTATCCTCCCTCTCTCTTTCCCCCACCCCCGTTCGTAAGCATATATATAGAAATTTGTGTTCCGATTATATCACTGTTCTTCCGTTCTTCTGTGTACCTTGGCTACACTAAGTAAATTTATCTAGGAAAGGGAGTTGACTAGTTTTTTTACTTCCTTGTTTCGACTCCGAAGGGAGGTCACATCAATAGTTCAGTGTGACTTCTTTTATGAAGGAATAAAAAAAATTGGTTGAGAACAAAAACAAAAGCAGACCAAAGTAACGTAATGTATTTGCAATAATGTAAGAATATTTCTTCATTCACAAAAATTTCTCTCTTTCGATCTTCGTTTTTTGTTTTGGTAAACGTCGTGATTGTCATTGACATGTGACTCTGCTTTTGACGAGGGGATTTCAGCTACGTCCTTTAACTGCATTATTCTTTTTCAGCTTATGATTCAATGAGAATAATTTATTATGATAATAATAGAATTGATAATTATAATAATACAAACAATGATAACCATTACAATTTACTAAAATGCGATTGGTACATTAGCTGCGTTATTGTCACAAATCATTCTTTATAGTTGTCAGTAATAGGACAGATACATTTAGGCCAAGCATCTCCGGTAGAGGCAGCGTCTAAAGGGAAAAATTCCTCCATTATGGAAATCCCCTAATAATTTTTTCAGGATAAGTTGTTGTTGCTATGGTTATTGTGATCAACTTTGCGATTGTTTGGTGAGGTTTTGATGCGCACTTGCTCTGATACTGACAGTGATCTAACAAACGTATTTGTATTTTTCGGAAGTTGTAACGGCAATGATTAATTGGCAACAGAACGCGTCGTCCAATTCTGTTTGAAATCATACTCGTGATCGACAAATCGGACTTCCGCTTCGCGGTCGTCCGATTTTTTTGTCACTCGTATGATTAAAGACCGAATTGCTTTCCACTCAGTCCTCTTACCATTACTTATCATCAATAGAAAATAATGGGTCCACTATTTTCTCTTGTAATAATGTAATAGTCATGTCTATCTCTGTCTCCTACTTGTCCTTCCCCATTAAATGGGTGTGACGTAGAAAACAGAGTCACCAATCGACAAGATCGACAAGCAAAAAAGGGGGAAAAACGTAGTCATAATAAGCTGCACGCCACAAAAGTTATAAACAACATATAAACTAACAACAGTGATGAAAAGTCATCGGGACGAAAAACCTGTAGAAACATGATCTTCGACCAAACGAAGCGTTTGAACAGCTGTGAGAGTTAGAGGTTAAAAAAAGGCACTGAATTACGAAGATTACTGTGAAATGAAAGTTTCCTTAGAAGGAATTTTTGTTTAGCGCCAATCTACTTAAAATCAAAGTCTTGGTCCGAAGGGATAATCTTCTGTTTTCGCTCTTGTTGTCTCATAATTCAAGGAAATTTGTAAAACGCAGTCAATAAATATTTACATAGGAAGCAAAAGGCAAAAAGATGAAGAACAAGGAAGAACCAGGCTTGTAGAAATAAATACTTTGAATCGTTATGAAAGGTTTTTCTCGTTGCATGCTGTAATTTTGCAAAGAATTTATTCTGATACTCAGAACTTTCCAGATTCTTTTCCCACACTTTGCGTCGTACAGAATCTTTATTTTATTTTTTTTTGAAAAATACACGATATTGTTAACAAGATTATATTTGAGTCAATGTCCGATTAAAGACGACTGATTACTTTGTCATTGTCACTGATTACTTTGTCTACCCTGGCATTAGTCTCCAAGACTCTGAAGGGTGAACAAGCAGCCCTAATTAAACAAATTTTTACTGTATTAACTCTCAGATTCATTCGGATTCCATTTGAATTTACTTGCGACAGTTCATTGCTTCAAACCAATGTAAGCGCCCCTTCCGCTGCTTCAAATGCCATCAAATTGTTTCTCTTACAGACAGAGTAATCTGCCTGTCTTAATCAGCGGATTGAAGTTAAGTGCATGGGAAGGCTTACGAACATATCTTGACAACGTTTTGTTTAATTCAGTGCGACGAATCCGTTATTTAAATTGAAGAAATGCAATGCTTGCAGTAAAAAGTGCTCATCAGAGCTGTGTGGTACTTCAGAAGGAAGTGATTACCCACAGTTTGACTACTTGATAAGTTTTTGATGCGCAGTTACTCAGGTACAGACATTGATCCAACAAATGTATGTTTAAGACTGCAAATGATGCGTAAGTGAGCTTCTCAAATGAAGAAAGGTCTGACTGATGAAGATTTATTTGTTCATTTGAAGTTCGTTGGCCGATGTCATCAAAGCCAGTTTAAGCGACACATTTGAGTTCTTAAGTGTCGAAGTTCCTTGCATGCGAAGTTGGGTCATTTAAGATCGTTAATAATTTCCTATAAAGACACGCCCGTGCAGACCCTTCGAAACCTCCGAGTCATTGTAGATAAAGTGAACTTAGATACAAAATATAAATGACGAGTATTCTTTGCCTTCGCAAAGCTTTATCGTCAAGTACGACAGATGATATAGAAATAACTTGATTGAATGTCTTTCTGGAGTATCGATCAAGCCTCATAAACTCCTGAGAGAGAAGATGAAAACCACGAGATTTCTTTTATTTGCGGCAGTTGCTCTGGCTTAAAAATTGGCTAATCCCGACATTGTTATCATGTTATCAAATAATCAAACTGTGGGTAATCACTTCCTTCTGAAGTACCACACAGCTCTGATGAGCACTTTTTACTGCAAGCATTGCATTTCTACAATTTAAATAACGGATTCGTCGCACTGAATTGAACAAAACGTTGTCAAGATATGTTCGTAAGCCTTCCCATGCACTTAACTTCAATCCGCTGATTAAGACAGGCAGATTACTCTGTCTGTAAGAGAAACAATTTGATGGCATTTGAAGCAGCGGAAGGGACGCGTACATTGGTTTGAAGCAATGAACTGTCGCAAGTAAATTCAAATGGAATCCGAATGAATCTGAGAGTTAATACAGTAAAAATTTGTTTAATTAGGGCTGCTTGTTCACCCTTTAGAGTCTTGGAGACTAGATTAGAGTTAATATACATGGCTGGGCTATTTGTTTTTTGCTGAGTTCCGTAGTTTTTTGTAAATTGTCCTCCAAACTTGTCTCAAATTAAAGTCTTGAAAAGTGTCGCGACAAGCCTTCGGTCGAGTGAAAT